GCAGCAACAGCAGCAGCAACAACAAATACAGCAGCAGTAACAGCAGCAGCAATTTGCTGCTGTTGTATTGCTCTAGTGTATCCGTGCAAGGCAGCACAATCCCAACTGATGTGCTGCTCACCGCAAACCCTGTAAGGGTTTAGGGTTTAGGGTTTAGGGTTTAGGGTTTAGGGTTTAGGGAAATGACAACCTTAGGGTTTGTCACTATAAGTTTTAATAATAATTGACCAATTATTATTTAATTTGTTAATTTATTTCTTCCTTCTTTCTTCTTTAATTAATTAATTAATTATATTTATTTATTTATTTATTTATTTATTTATTTATTTATAGCTATCTGCCTCTTCCTTATCTACCTACCTAACCAATGGTCACGGTGTGTATACACCTCAAGAATAGATGAATAATAGAGGAAAATAAATCATTTTTTTAATAAAAAAAAGAATAAATAATTAAATTAATTAATTATAAATATAAATAAACAATAAAATTCCTTTTTTCTTCTTTTTTATCCCTCCTTTATACCCTATTTACTACATATGATGAATATATATCTATATAAGGAGGGGGTCACCTATGTATATATACAGCTACGTCTTTTCTTATTTATTTTTATTTATTTTATTTATTTTATTTATTTAATTAATTTAATTTAATTAATTTAATTAATTAAATTAATAAAAGGAAGAAACAAGGAGGATTTAGCAACGAATAGCTGCTGCTGCTGCTGCTGCTCGCTATACTCTATAACCACCGCAAGCTACTGCAGCAGCAGCAGCAGCAGCAGCACCGTTGCTAGCAGCAGCAGCAACAACAACAGCAGCATTTATTTGAATAAAAAGGAGAAATAAATAAATAAATAAATAAATAAATAATTTTCTTTATTTTGTTATTTTCTTGACTTTTACTCTTTTTATTCTTTATGTATCTTATATCGCCAATAGCAGCAACAGCAGCAGCAGCAGCAGCAGCAGCAGCAACAGCAGCAACAGCAGCAGCAGCAGCTGTCAGTATATTAAAAATAAATAAATAAATAAATAAATAAATATAAATAAATAGGTATATAATACTACAACAGGTATAATCTTGACTTATTTATTTATTTATTTCTTCTTTTTATTTATTTATTTGTCTTCTTTTTTTCTTCTTTTTTTCTTCTTTTTTTTTCCTTTATTTAGTCTATTTGTGGTGTACATACACCTCAATTTTCTTTTTTTCTTTATTTGGCGTTTGCTGCACACACTTGGCTTTTTAGAGATGCCGCCTACACAGCAGCAGCAGCAGCAACAGCAGCAGCAGCAGCAGCAGCAGCAGCAGTCTGCTGCTGACCATCACGACGAGCCGCAAGATGATTGGAAACTCTCTGAGACATTAAAACTCCGCAAGCGCAAATGCAGCAGCAGCAGCAGCAACAGCAGCAACAGCAGCAGTTGCTGCTGCAGCAGCAGCACAAGATGTAATTGCTGCAGTTGCTGCAGCAGCAACAGCAGCAGCAGTTGTCTTACTTCCCACAGCAAATTAGTTGATTGCAGCAAATCCTCTAATATATTTACAGCAGCAGCAGCAGCAAAAGAAGCAGCAGCAGCAACAGCAGCAGCAGCAGCAGCAGCAGCAGCAGCAGCAGATCCTCCCCCCGAGGGCACAGCAGGGCTAACCCAATGCCGTGTTGCTGCACCTCTGTCTCGTCCCCATCAGCAGCAAAAAGAGCAGCAAGAACAGCAGCAGCAGCAGGAGGAGGAGGAGCAGCAGGAGGAGCAGGATAAGGAGGGATTAATAAAAAAGATAATAAAGAAAATAATAATAAGAATAAATAAATATATAATAAATATATTATATATAATAAATATTTGCTGCTTGCTGCTGTCCCCTTTATTAATAATATTATTAGTATGGGGTCCTGTACTTTTTGCTAAATTACCCCTAACAATTAGGCAAATAATTATATTATTATTTCCTTCCTTAAGGATATTTAATCCTTATACTCCTTATCTTCCTCATTTACCTAATTATATACCTAATACTGTTGCTCCTCCTCTTGCTGCTCCTGCTGCTCCTGCTGCTGCTGCTGCTGCTGCTGCTGCTGATAGTAGTATATTCAATTTATTCAATATATTTGGTTATACACAACAGCAGCAGCAGCAGCAGCAGCAGCAAGGATTAGATGAGCAGCAATGGTGGTTCCCTGAATTAGATGACCCTAGTGGTGTATGTATGAGGGAAGGAGTGCAGCAGCAGCAGCAGCAGCAGCAGCAGCAGCAGGAGCAGCAGCAGGAGGAAGAGGAGAAGGAAGGGGAGAATATATTTATGCCAGCAGCAAAAATAGCAAGAAAGAAAAGAACAGCAGCAGAAGCAGTAGAAGCAGCAGCAGCAGCAGCAAATAGAGCAGCAATAGCAGCAGCAAATGGATATATACAAGAAGAAGAGATAAATTTATTACCTAAGGAAGAAGATATAAGAAAAAAATATAAATATTTATTAATACCTCCTCTTGCTGCTCCTGCTGCAGTGCAACAACAGCAGCAAGATTTATATAATAAAAAAGAAATAAAAGAAATAAAAAAAAATATATTTATGTTTATGAATTATTCATTAGCTAATGTATTTATTATTAAGACTAATAAAGGTATTATATTCATAGATACAACAGAGAATAAATATATAATTAATAAAATATATAAACAATTTAAATTATTAATTATTAATAGAATTAATAAAAAAAGAATTAAAAGAAAAGAAGAAAAAAAAAAAAAAAAAATAATGTTATTCCTCCAGCAGCAGCAGCAGCAGCAAGTGCAGCAGCAGCAGCAGCAGCAGCAGCAGCAGCAAGTGCAGCAGCAACAACCAAAAGACATAGAGAGACAGGAAAAAAGGCAGCAACAGCAGGAGGAAGAGGAGAAGCAGAAGGAATTATTATTAAGGGATGAGGAGGAAGAAGAAGACGAAGAATATAAGAAAGAAGAAGAAGAAATAAAATTATTAGATAAAATAATTTGTATAATATATACACATCATCATGCAGATCATACAAATGGTGCTTGGGGTGTATATGGAGGTAAAAAAGAGAAGAAAAAAAGAATAAAAAAAAAACAAGTTAATAATATAGATAATAATAATAATAATATAAATAATATTATAAATAATAATATAAATAATAATATTATTAATATTATTGCACAAAAAAGAACAAAAAAAGAATTAATTAATGTTATTTCCCTAAAAAGTACAAAAAATTTTATTGGTAGTATAAAACAATTTGGGGTGTATACGCACCTCTATGATTATATACATGCAGGTATAGGTAAATCATTATATTTATATTTAAATAATAAGAATATACCTATTAATTATAATTATTATAAATATAATAAATTAAATAAATTAATTAATAAAAAAAAATATATTAATAAGGATAATTATTATATAAAAAATAAATATAATAATATTATTATAGATAATAATATAATAGATTATACACAAATAGAGGAAGAAAAAAAAGAGGAAAAAAATATAAATAATAAAATAAATAATATAAATAAAGAAAAAGAAGAGGAGAATAATAATAAACAACAACAAGAACAAGAAGAGGAGGAACAACAAGAAGAAGAGGAAGAAGAAGACGTAAAAGAAGAAGAATTAGGAGGAATAAATGTATTATTACCTAATGTATTAATAGGAGAAAAAGAAGAAAATATAACTATAGGGGATATAAATATGCAATTAATCCCCGTAAAAGGGGAGACAAAAGATCATATAATAATATATATAAATAAATATAAATTATTATTTATAGGGGATATAATATATAATTCATTACCTAATATACAAGCAATAAGAGGAGAAAAAATAAGAAATATTAATAATTGGCTATTTACTCTTTCTTTTATTAAATATAAAATTAAACCTCTTATTCTTCTTCCTTCTCATGGTCCTCCTATATATAACCAAATAGATCTAGATAAGATAGGAGACGGAGGAGAGGGAGAGGGAGAGGGAGGAGAGGGAGAGGGAGAGGGAGAGGAGGGAGAGAGGGAGAGAGAGGAGGGAGAAAGGGAGAGAAGGGAGGGAGAGAGAAGAGAAGAAAGAAAGGATAATAATAATAATATAAATAAGGAAGAAAGAAGAAAAGGAACAGGAACAAGAATAGAGTATAATAATAATAATAATAATAATAATAATAATAATATAAATATAAATAAAGGAGAAGAAGGAGAAGAAAAAGAAGAAAGAATAGAGTATAATATGAATATAAATAAGGAAAAAGAAGAAAAAAAAGAAGAAAAAAAAGAAGAAAAAAAAAAGAAAATAAATTATGTAGATAGAATATTAGATAGTTATTATTATACAATAAGTTATATACATGATCAATCATTAAGATTAATAAATAAAGGAATAAATATAAATAGAGTTGCCTATACACTCGAGCTGCCTATACACCTGAAATATAATTATTATATACAACCTATTTATACAAATTTATTTTTTATTATAAAAGCAATTTATAATTATTATTATGGTTGGTTTAATGGGGATAGTATAGATTTATTTCCTCTGCAGCAGGAGCAGCAAGCTTTGCTGCTGCTGCAGATAGGGGGAGGAAAAATAAATAATCTTATTATGCATGCATTATTTTTTATTAATAAAAAAGAATATAATTTTTCTTTATTTATTTCTTCTTCCTTATTCTCTCTTCTTCCTAATCATCCTATTATACAATTAATACATGTTCTTTCTCTTAGAGGATTAGCATCACAACAAACTTCTTCCTCGGGTATTTTGTTGTTGTTGTTGTTGCTGCTGCTGCTGCTGTCTTGTTGCTGCTGCTGCTGCTGTCTTGTTGCTGTTGTTGTTGCTGTTGTTGTGGTGGTGGGGTTGTTTTTGTGTGTTTATTGATGCCTCTTTTCTTATGGTTAGGGTTATCGTGTTTTTATTTCCTGTTGTTATTTGTTGCTGCTCCTTTTGCTGCTGCTGCTGCTGCTGCTGCTGTTGCTGTTTGTTTGTTTGTTGCTGCTGTTGCTGCTGTTTATTGTGTATTTATTGATGTATCTTTGTTGCTGCTGCTGTTCTTGCTGCTGCTGCTGCTGCTGCTGCTGTTATTATTATAAATAAATAAATAAATAAATATGTATGTGTTGCTGTTGTTGCTGCTGTTGCTGCTGCTGCAGCAAGGAATTGGTTATTAACAACAGCATTAGAGGCAGAAGGTTTGCTGCATTTATCCTTAGGGCAGCAGCAGAAGCAGCAGCTGCTGCAGCAGCTGCCGCTGCAGCAGCTATTTGATTTAATGCAGATAAGAATTAATCCGCATGCAGCAGCAGATCTAAATGTTGTTATTTTATTCAAATTCTATCCAGAGGAGGAGGAGGAGGAGGAGGGGGAGGAGGAGGGGGAGGGACAGGAAGGGGAGCAGCAGCAACTGCAGCAGCAGCAGCAAGTGCAGCAGGAAAAGGAAGGGAAGCAGCAGAAAGAGCAGCAGCAGCAGCAGCAGCAGCAGCAGCAGCAGCAGGAGGGAAGAAAAAATGACGAAAATGTATTGATGGATAAAAAAGAACAACTACTGCAGCGACTGCACCAACAACTGCAGCAGCTGCAGCAGCAGCAGCAACAGCCGCAGCAGCAGCAGCAGCAGCAGCAGCAGCAAGAAGATCAACAAGACGAAACTAAATCCCCAGATGCAACCAAGACACCAAACAAAGACGAGCAGCAGCAGCAGCAGCAGCAGCAGGAACAGGAGCAGCAAGAAAACCAGCAGCAGCAGCAACAGCAGCAGCAGCAACAACAACAACAGCAGAAGGAAGAGGAGGAAGAAGCAGAAGAAGAATATTGTGTACATTTTCGTTATGGTATAGTATACACCCGAACTGCATGCGAAGATACACCACAAATAATAGTAAGAACAACAGCAGCAGCATGGCGTAATATATTAACAAGAAGCAGCAATGTTGCTGCTGCTGCTGCAGCAGGAAAGATTAAGGTACAAGGTAATCTATATACACTTATTAGATGTCTTTCTTCTATTGAGCTTGATTCTGATTAAATTATCCCTCCTCCTCCTCCTGCTGCTGCTGCTCCTGCTGCTGCTGCTCATGCTGATGCTGCTGATGCTGCTGATGCTGCTCATGCTGCAGCAAGTGCTGCAGCTGCTGCTGCTGCACTTGCAGCAATTCTGTAGGCGGAAACAGAACTGTTGCAGCAAATGCAGCAGATGCTGCAGCTGCAGCAGCAGTATATGATGTTTGCTGCTGCTGCTGCTGCAGAAGCAGCAGTAGCAGCAGCAGGAGAAAGATTTAGTGCAGGAGTATTTATTGCGGCTTAGTTTGTATATATTTATATGTATATGTGATGGCATAACTGCTGCTGCTGCTGCTGCTGCTGCTGTTGCTGCATGCGCACAGAAGCAGCAGCAACAACAGCAACAACAACAGCAACAACAACAGCAGCAACAACAGCAAATAAATAAATTCTTTAAATATGCTTTTATATGCAGCAAACACAGGTTATTTATATTTATATACTATTGACATAATTAGGGTTTAGGGTTTAGGGTTTAGGGTTTAGGGTTTAGGGTTTAGAGTATTTTTCTTGGTTATAAAAGATATTTTATTATTTAATAGAATAAATAAATAAATATTTATATTATTATATAATAAATATTAATAAATAAATAATAAATAAATAATAAATAATAAATAATATATCTTTTATTTAGTATAAATAATAATTAAATAGCTGCCTATACACCTGAGTGACCTTGGGAGTCTATAAGCAGAAATTATTTCTTTTTTTTTCTCCTTTTTTATGCATAAAAAGAATTAATTTAATTAAAATAAATAAATAAAATAAATAAAATAAATAAATTTAATTATTTATTTTATTTAATGGCAAATTAATTCCCTTTTTCTTTCCTTATTTACCTACAAAGGAAAAAAGGAAGAAAATCCTTTTTATTTGTTAATAATAAAAAAAAAAAAAGGAAAAGAAATAAATAATTAATTATATATATTTTTTATCCCTTTTTTTTTATTTAATTATAATTAATTTATAATTAATTAAGAAAAAAAGAATTAAATTTTTTTTTTCTTCTTTTTTCTTCTTTTTATTTATTTTTATTTTTAGCAGTAAATAAGGGGGAGACCACCGGTCTGCGGTGTATATGCACCTCTTGCTGCAGCAGCAGCAAACCTTTTTATTTATTTATTTATTAAATAAATAAATAAATTAATTATTTTTAATTAATTAATTAATTAACTAATTAATTATACTGTATATAATAGACAGGATATTATTCCTTAAGACCACCAGCAGCAGCAGCAGGAATGGCAGCAATAGCAGCAGCAGCAGCAACAGCAGCAGCAGCAGCAGCAGCAGCAGCAAATACAACGTTATGCATAAATAATTTGCTGCTCCTCCTTTAATTGAAATAATTTATTTATTTGTTGTTGCTGCATATATAAAAAAGAAAATATATAAATAAATATAAATTAATATATATTTATTCTCCTTTTGCTGCTGCTGCTGCTGCTGCTGTTGCTGCTCGTGCTGCAGCTACTGCTGCTGCCTGTCGCCTCGCATACACCACTGAGCGACCCCACACGCATACAGCAGCAGCAGCAGCAAATAGATACACACAGTTAACAGCAGCAGCAACAGCAGCAGCAACAGCAGCAGATAAAAGAAACAATATAAGGAAAAAGGCAGAAATGCTACTTTCTTTCCCTACGCGCTGCTCGCTGCTGCTGCTGCTGCTGCTGCCGTTTGCTGCTGCTGCAGCTGCAACGCAGCATGCAGCAGCAATAAGCAGCAAATTCGTTCTTACTGCAAGATGCAGCAATGCTCGCTACAGCGGCAGCAGCTGCTTAGGGCTGTTGCTGCTGCTGCTGCTGCTCGTTAGTATTGGAGCAGCAACAGCAGCAGCAGCAGCATCAACAGCAACGCATGCTGCTGCAACACCGACAGCGATACCAACAAATGCAACACCAAAGGCGGCAGGTGCTGCTGCAGCGCCTGGCCTACCTTCAGCAGCAGCAGCAGCAGCAGCAGCAAAACCAGCAGCAGCAGCGAGACCAGCTCCGGCAGCGGCAGCAGTACCAATAGCAGCAGCAGCACCAATAGCAGCAGCAGCAGTTCGAGGGCCACTGGGTGCTGCCCCATCACCAGCAGCAGCGGCAGCAGCAGAAGCACGAAGAGCAGCAGCTGTTTTTACAGACGACAGCAACGCAGCAGCAGCAGCACCACCACAAGCAGCCTCAGCAGCACCACAGACAGCAACAGCAGCAAGATTGACCCCATTCGCAGCTGCAGCAGAAGCTGCAGCGCCGCTAGCAGCAGCAGCAGCAATAATGAGGGCAATGCCAACTGCAGCAGCAGCAGCAGGACCTCATCTTGCTGCAGGAACTCCAGCAGCGGCAGTAGCAAGAACAGCGATAGACGCAGCAGCAGCAGCAGCAGCAAGACAAGCAGCAGCAAGAGCAGTAAGAATAGCAGCAGAAACACTAACACCAGCAGCAACAGCAGCTGCAATAGCAGCAGCAAGAGCAGCAGCAGCAAGAGTAGCAGCAGCAGCAGCAGCAGACGAGCCAGAGTCTGAAGCAGCAGCAACCCTGCCGCAACCGGCAGCAGCACGACGACAGGCAGCAGTTGCAGCAGCAACGGCAGCAGCAGCAGCAGCAGGCGAAGAAGAAACAGCCGCAGCAGCAAGAGATGCAGCGGCAGCAAGAGAAGCAGCAGCAGCAAGAGCTGCAGCAGCAAGAGAAGAAGCGGCAGCAAGAGCTGCCGCAGCAAGAGAAGCAGCAGCAAGAGCAGCAGCAGCAAGAGAAGCTGCACTAGCACGGCAAGAAGCAGCAAGAGTAGCAGCAGCAAGAAGAGAAGCAGCAGCAGCAGCAGCAGCAAAGGAAACCGCAAAGCGTGAAGCAGCAGCAAAAGGAGGAGCAGCAGCAACACCAACAAGGGACGCAGCAGCAAGGAAAGCAGCAGCAACAGAAGCAGCAGCAAAAAAAGCATCAGCAAAAGAAGAACAAGCTGCAAGAGAGGCAGCAGCAAGAGACGCAGAAGCAAGAGAAGCAGCAGCAAGAGAAGCGGTAGCAAGAGAGGCAGCAGCAAGAGCTGCGGTGGCAATAGCAGCAGCACAAGAAGCAGCAGCAAGAGCTGCAGCAGCGAAGCAAACGGCGGCAGCGAGGGAAGCAGCAGCAAGAGAGGCAGCAGCAAGAGAAATAGCAGCTAGAGAAGCAGCAGCAAGAGACGCAGCAGCTAGAGAAGCAGCAGCAAGAGAAGCGGCAGCAAAAGAAGCAGCAGCAAGAGATGCAGCAGCAAGCGAAGTAGCAGCAAGGGAAGCAGCAGCAGCAAGGGAGGCGGAAGCAGCAAGAGAGGCAGCAGCAGCAAGAGAACAAACAGCAGCAAGAGAAGCAGCAGCAGCAAGAGAAGGAGCAGTAGCAAGAGGATTAGCAACAGCAGCAAAAGGAGAAGAAGACGCAGCAGAAGCGGTAGCAGCAACAGCAGCAGCACCAGAAAGTGCACCAGGAGCAGCAGCTGCTGCTGCAGCAGCAGAGCAGCATGCAGCAAATGCAGCAGCAGGAGCAGACGCAGCAGAAATTGAGGCAGCACCAGAAGAAGCAGCAGCAGATGATGATGATGCAGCAGCAGATGCAGCAGCAGTAGAGGCAGCAGCAGCAGAAGCAGCACCCGTCGGTGCAGCAGCAGCATCGGGACAGCGAAGACAAGCCGCAGCAGGAGCAGCAGAAGAGGCAGCAGCAGCACAAGAGGCAGTAGCAACAGAGGAGGCAGCAGCAACAGAAGAGGCAGTACCAACAGCAGCAGCAGACGCTGCAACAGCAGAAGACGCAGCAGCAGCAGAATACGCAGAAGCTGCAGAAGAAGCAGCAGCAGCACCAGAAGACGCCGCCGCAGCGGAAGCAGACGACACTGCAGCAGCAGCAGCAGCAACAGCAAAACAAGAAGCTGCAACAGCAGACCAAACAGCAGCAGCAGCAACAGAAACAGCAAGAGAAGAAACAGCAGCAGCGGAGAAAGAGGCAGCAAAACAAGCAGCAGCAAAGCAATTAGCAGCAGATGATGCAGCAGCAGCAGCAGGTGAAGCGGCAGCAGACGAAGCAGCAGCAGACGAAGCAGCAGAAGACGGTGCAGCAGCAGCAGCAGCAGAAGATGAAGCAGCAGCAGATGAAGCAGCAGCAGATGATGCGACAGCAGCAGCAGCAGATGACACAACTGCAGCAGCAGATGGTGATGCAACAGCAGCAGCAGCAGATGACACAACTGCAGCAGCAAATGACACAACTGCAGCAGCAGATGATGATGCAACAGCAGCAGCAGCAGATAAAGCAGCAGCAGAGGAAACACCAGAATATGATGAAGCAGCAGCAGCAGATGAAGCAGACGCAGCAACAGCAGCAGCAGATAAAGCAGAGGCAGCAGCAGCATATTACCCAGCAAAAGATGAAGCAACAGCAGCAGCAGCAGCAGCAGCAGATGGAACAGCAGCAGATGGTGCAGACGATGAACAAGCAGCAACAGAACAAGACGAAGCAGCAGCAGACAAAGCAGCAGCAGACGAAGCAGCAGCAGACAAAGCAGCAGCAGACGAAGCAGCAGCAGACGAAGCAGCAGCAGAAGAAGAAGCAGCAGAAGAAGAAGCAGAAGGAGAAGAAGCAGTAACAGGAGCAGCAGTGGTAGATCATGCAGCAGCAGCAGCAGAAGATCAAGCAGCAGCAGCAGCAGAAGAAGCAGCAGCAGATGAAATAGCAGCAGCAACAACAGCAGCAGACGAGGCAGCAGCAGCAGGCCAAGCAGCAGCAGAAGAAGAAGCAGCAGCAGCAGAAGAAGAAGAAGCAGCAGCAGATGAAATAGCAGCAGCAACAGCAGCAACCCAACAAGACAGCTCGTCGTCATCATTAGCAGCAGAATCAGCAGCAGAAGAAGAAGCAGCAGCAGCAGCCGAAGAAGAAGAAGCAGAAGCAGCAGCAGAAGCAACAGCAGCAGAAGCAACAGCAGCAGAGCAGGCAACAACAGGTCGTACAGCAGTTAAGGCAGCAGCACACAAAGCAGCAACAGCAAAACTATCAGCAGCAGCAGCAGCAGCAGCAGCAGCAGCAGCCACAGCTGCAGACGAAGCAGCAGAGGAATTATCGGCAGCAACCGCAGCAGAAGCATCAGCAGCAGAATTACCAGCAACAGCAGAAAAATTACCAGCAGCAGCAGCAGCAACAGCAGCAACAGCAGCAGCAGCAACAACAACAACTGAAGTATCATTATCATCACCATCAACAGCAGCAGCAGCAAAGGCAGCAGCAGGAAAAGCAGCGACAAAAGAAGCAACAGTAGCAGCAGCAAAAGAAGCAGCCGCAGCAGCAGCAGCAGCGACAAAAGCAGCAGCAGCAGCAGCAGCAGCAGCAGGAAGAGAAGTATGTAAGACAATATTAATAACAAAAAAAACTGTTTGTATAAAAAAAATAAAAAAGAAAGAAAATAAAAAATGTACTAGTAATAAACAAATAAATAATAATATAAATAATAATATAAATAAAATAAATAATAATATAAATAATAATATAAATAATAATATAAATAATAATAAAAATATAAATAATAATATAAATAATAATAAAAAAAATAAAAAAATAAATAAAAAAATAAAAAAAGAAGAAAGAAGAATATGTGAATATATACCTATTAAGTTAACTACTGCTGCATGCGATTCTTTCCCTATACAGCAGCAGCAGCAGCAGCAGCAGCAGAAAGAGCAGCAGCAGCAGCAGCTTGTGGTGCAGAAGCAACAGCACGAGGAAGAACAGCTAGAGCAGCAAGAGCGGCAAGAGCAGCAAGAGCAGCAGGAGCAGCAAGAGCAGCAGGAGCAGCAGGTGGAGGAGCAGCAGGTACGTATGTTGCAGATGATGCAGCCGCCGCTTGGGATGCAGCAGCAGCAGCAGCAGCAGCAGATGATGCAGCAGCCGATGATGATGCAGCAGCAGCAGCAGCAGCAGCAGATGATGATGCAACAGCAGCAGCAGCAGCAGCAGCAAATGGGGGATAATATAGTATGGTTAGAGGATGATGACATACCTAAGACAATGCAGCAGCAGCAGCAGCAGCAAATGCTAATATTAGAGCAGCAGCAGAAGCAGCAGCAGCAGCAGCAGCAGCAGTGCCAGACAGTAGAGAGCGTCTGCATGCGCCAAGTAGAAGAAGTAGTAAACGAAGACTGCAGCAGAATAGTATGCAAAAAAATAACGACTACTAGCAGCAGCAAAGAACTGCAGCAGCTGCAGCAGCAGCAGCAGCAGCAGCAAAGAATAATATGTAAGAATATAATGATAGCAGTTCCCTCTATTTGTTATAAAAAAATAATTAATAAAGAAAAATATAAATGTATAAAAAAGAAAAAAGTACAAAAATGTACAAATAAATATATACCTATATATGCATGCATGCAGCAGCAGCATAAGCAGCAGCAGGTAGTGCTGCAGCAGCAAAAATGCATGCGTACTAAAGAAATACAACAATGTAGTCTACGTATTACTGCTGTTGCTGCTAAATGCATGCGCTATACAGAGCAGCAGCAGCAATATGCATGCAGCAAAACTATTAAGACTATTAAATGTTATAAAAAAAAACATAAACATATGCAGCAGCAGCAGCCAGTGCTGCTGCTGCAGCAGCAGCACACGAAGCAGCAAATGCCGCATGTGCAGCATGTGCAGCATGTGCAGCAAATTGAGCATATAGAGCAGCAGCAGCCAGATATACTCATGATGCAGCAGCAGCAGCTGCTGCTGCAGCAGCAACAGGAACAAATAGAACCATACCCTATCGATAATATGCAGATGCAGCAGCAGCAGATGCAGCAGCAGATGCAGCAGCAGCAAATGCAGCAACAGATGCAACAGCAAATGCAGCAGCAAATGCAGCAGCAACAGATGCAACAGCAAATGCAACAGCAAATGCAGCAGCAGCAGATGCAGCAGCAAATGCAGCAGCAGATGCAGCAGCAGCAGATGCAACAGCAAATGCAGCAGCAAATGCAGCAGCAGCAGATGCAACAGCAAATGCAGCAGCAAATGCAGCAGCAGCAAATGCAGCAGCAGATGCAGCAACAGCAGATGCAGCAAGGGTATATGGATCAAGAGATGGTGCTAGAGGATGAAGACAGCTTGCTGCAGCTGCAGCAACAGCAACAGCAGCAGCAGCTGCAGCAGCTGCAACAGATGCAACAGCAGCAACAGATGCAGCAGTTGCAACAGCTGCAACAACAGCAGCAGCAGCAGCAGATGCAGCAGCTGCAGCAACTGCAGAGCTTGCCACCGCAGCAGCAGCAGCTTCTGCTGCAGCAACTGTCACCGCAGCAGCAGCAGCTACTGCTGCAGCAAATGCAGCAACAGCAGCAGCAGCAGCAGCTTGCTTCTGGCTATGATGGAGACGCAATGGGCTACGGCATGTACGGTAGAGACACTCCCGCCGCAGCAGCAGCAGCAGCAGCAGCAGCAGATATGCATGCAGAGGAAGACTATGGCATGCAGATGTGGGGCCGCGCTCTTAGCAAAAGTAATGACGATCGTGCTGCAGCGGCAGAAATTGCTGCTGCTGTTGCTGCTGCTGCTGGCGCAGCAGGAGAAGTAGATACAACTGCTGCTGCTGCTGCTGCTGCAGCAAATGAGGAGGAAGAAGATGAGGAGGAAGAAGAAGATGATTTGCTGCAGCAGAGACAATTAGCAATAAAAAGAAGAAAGAAGATGCAGCAAGCAGGCATGCATGCTGCTGCTGCTGCTGCTGCACCTCCTGTTGCTGTTGCTGCGCCTCCTGTTGCTGTTGCTGCTGCTGCTGTTCCTGTTGCACCTCCCCCTCCTGTTCCTGTTGCACCTGTAGTACCTGTTGCACCTCCCGTTGCTGCTGTTGCTGCAGTTGCTGCTGTTCCTGTTGCACCTGTAGTTCCTGTTGTTCCTGTTGCTCCTGCACCTCCTCCTCCTCCTCCTCCTCCTCCTCCTCCTCCTCCTGCAGGAAAGGAAGCAGTAACTCGTGTATGCCGAGAGGTAGAGAAGCAAGTACCAGCAACATGCACAAGAACAGTAGTGGGCCGTGAGGTGTATACATGCATGCAACAGCAGCAGCAGCCTGTATGTACAGCAGCAAAAGTATTAGTACCTGGTGTATGTACAACTACTGTACAGCAGCAAGCAAAAAATGCATGCATGCAGCAGCAGCAGCAAATAAAAGTATGTAAGGAAGAAATAGTTAATGTTACTGCTGTATGTATAAGAGAGAAACATCTGCAGCAACCATACAAATGCATGCAGCAGCAGCAGCAGCAGCAATGTTATCCTCAAAAAAAACCGCAGCAGCAGCAGTTAGTGCTGCTGCAGCAGCAGCAGCAACAACAACAAAAAGTATGCAAAAAAGAGAAACAACTATGTCCAAAAAAAATAAATAAATTAATTAAATATAAATGTAAACAAATAGTATGTAGGCAGCAGCTGCCTATACACCCCAATACAAGAAATATGCAACAAATTAAACCTGCATGCACGGCTACTACGCTGCTGCTGCAGTGTAGGCAGCAGAAGCAGCAACAGCAGCAGCAGAAACAGGAGGAAGAGGAAGAGGAAGAGGAGGAGGAAGAGGAAGAGGAAGAGGAAGACGGGGAACAGCAACAAGAGGAGGAAAAGGAGGAAAAGCAGCAAATGCAGCACCAACAGCAGAAGGAACGACGACTGCAGCAGCAGCAGGAGACGCAGCAGCAACTGCAGCAGCAGCAGGAAGTAAACTGTTATGCAACAAGAATAATAAGAGATGAATATCCTTGTACTAAATATACATTCAGAACTGCCTGTACACCCCAAACACCACAGCAGAAGCAGCAGCAGCAGCAGCACGTGCAGCAAAAGCAGTATATGCAGCAAAAGCAGCACATGCAGCAACAACGGCGACTGCAGCAAACGCAGCAAATGCAGCAAAAGCAGCAAAGGCGGCAACTGCAGCAAACGCAGCAAACGCAGCAAAAGCAGCAAACGCAGCAAAGGCAGCAACTGCAGCAAGCGCAGCAAAGGCAGCAACTGCAGCAAGTGCAGCAACAGCAGCAGAGGCGTCAACTGCAGCAAAAGCAGCAAATGCAGCAAAGGCAGCAAAAGCAGCAAGAACAATCTGCATAAAATAAACGATAAGAATATTATTACTTATTATATTATTTGCTGCTGCTGCAGTTGCTGCAGCAGCAGCTGCTGCTGCTGCTGACGGTTATTTTATGCGCTTATATCTGATCCTTCTACATAGCAGCAGCAGCAGCAGCACAACCAATGCATGCAGCAGCAGCAAATGCATGCAGCAAACACACCTGCAGCAGCACCGCATTGCTCATGTGCTGCATCGTTTGCTGCTGCAGCAAAATAATGCTGCAGCAAACACTGCTGCAGCAACGAATGCAGCAGCAGCACCAGCAGCAGCAAATGCAGCAGCAGCAGCAGAAGCAGCATGTTAGCTTAATGCTGCAAATGTAGCAACGAACGAACAAAACATTCCCCTTTTTTTAGTTAATTATTATTTATTTATTTATTTATTCTATTTATTTATTTATTTATTTTATTTATTTATTTTATTTATTTATTTTATTTATTTATTTTATTTATTTATTTAATTTATTTATTTGCTGCCTTTGTATGGCCCTATACAACTCAAATCGGCTTAAAAGTACAGCAGCAGCAGCAGCAGCAAAGGCTGGTGCTGCTGCTGCAGATAAAGGTTTAATCTGCTGCTGCTGCTGCAGAAAATAAATATATAATCTGCAGCAGCAGTAGCAAATCCAAATTTTATCTGGTGCAGCAGCAGCAGTAGCAAGTAAAAGTTTAATCGGCAGCAGCAGCAGCAGCAGCAAGTAAAGAATTAATCTGCAGCAGCAGCAGCAGCAGCAGCTCTGCTGCTTGGTGTACGTTTGCTGCCCTTCCAACGTACAGGCAGCACCCCTGCACTCATTTGCTGCAGCAGTTGCAGCAGAGGGAGGGGATTAACGCCTCTTTGGCAGCAAATTGTTGCTGCTTGCTGCAGCGCGAACAGTTTGTCCTTGAAGTGTACAGACAACATATGCAAGCCAGCAGGCAGTATTTGCTGCTGCTGCTGCTGCTGCTGCTGTGCCATTTGGTGCAGCAGGCTAAGCCGACGACACACCTTAGCGCTGCTCAGCAGCAGCTGCTGCTGCTGCTAGACCGCAGCAGCAGCAGCAGCGGCATGTAAAAGTGGGTGAACCGTTCGCTGTGGCCGTTGTTGGTACTGCTGAAGGTGCTGCAGTTGCTGCTGCTGCAGCAGGAGTCTGCTGAGTCCCCCTCGTATGGACACTACATCTGCATATATCTGCAGCGCTACCTCTGTTGCTGCGAACTCGACAGCAGACAGCATACAGGAAGCATAGGGCTGTGTTCTATACAACGGCTTTATTGTGTTCCTCTCGGCAGCACGTCTATATCGCACCGTCTTATGAAAGGCACTGGAGAAGGTGTACCACAGACGGTTGAAGTGTCCAAGTTTCGCGGCATCTCTGCACCATTCAACATACATAACTCATGTGTTATTTTTCTTAAATAAAATTTCATAAGAGTGAGCTTAGTTTAGGCCTATACTCCTTGTGACATAGCCAATTCAAACACCGAACAAGGAAAAACGAATAGGACACAGGCATATTCGCTACTCATGGGGAATCCAAGAGCCATTAGTCGTTGCAGCTCTCTATAACGTGGTTATCTACAATGTAAAAAGGTGATCAGCTAACGGAAAAGAGCTTGCGCAAACCTCGTGCAACCGATGTGGACATAACACACACAATTCACACGGGCGTCTTGGAGGATCCCGGGTCTCGTCAAACTCACATCCTACCACATCGAGCGCATGCAACTCCTCTTACGTGTGGGAGTCTATAGAAATTCTGGGAGGAGCTTTCGATTTGACTCCAGCGAAGCTCCAGAATCCCCAGTAGTTGGTGGCAATTTACTGGGAATGGCATAAGGTCTGTAGACACCAACTCTGAGTGCAACTCCACCACTGAAATGTCTGGTCAATGCTTACTACCTGTGTACAGCACTTGGAAGAGCTGTTTCTGGTCATTTACTGCCCTTTACCGGGCGTGGGCCTCAAGGCAATTCATACGCCGATGAAGGAAACCTAGAGTACCATGCTTCCGAGAGGGAGCCTCGTGGCTGCCGAGTTCGAGTTACCTCTATTGCAGCGACCTCTAGTCATCTCCCACGAAGCTAGACAGCGCTACGTTGCCTACTATCTGGTGAGACGTGTCGTACGGTTTCTGCAGAGATTTTTGAGTCATCCCGGCACGCTCGTAGACACAGCGGCAAGTCAGCAGAAACTCCAGGAATCAGGCTCATAGACGTTTTGCTGCAGAGATACCGTGGCTGTACACTATGCATAAATAATTTAGGGAGGCAGACCTGCGCCATACCGCAGTGCGTATTCCCACCTGAAGCCACAAATTTGCATCCTCCTCTAATTTTCACCTTAGACATTATCTAGAGTCAATGTCAGTTTTAAGTGCACCAGAGAATGCTTTACACGTCCACGGGTTTCTTCTTTCGGGGAAGCAAATTTTGTCGCACAGCCTACATATATAATCGCTGTTAGCTGCATCTATTGGTGCATCAATTGGCATTTTGGCTTTGCCATCATTCTCCGGATAGACTAAACCGTGCTGGCATCAGCTCACGAGAACATGCGAGCAGAGGTATATCACAGATTTTCGTGCTCCACCTTAGCATGCCGTGCACTCGGATCACAATAGATGCATTCTAAAAATAGTTTACCACGCGAGAGTTCAATCTATTCATAGTTTAAGACAGTTTGCACTTTCGACTTTCCCTATGCGTTCCGTCACTGTGAATGGTCCTCTGTAGCGGAGCTTGAACTTGGAGCAGTCGTTCAGTGCCGGGAGCTGTTTGGCACTGAGCCACACCTTGTCCCCAATTGTATAATCGACATCTCTGCGTTTAGAATCTGCGTAGAATTTCTGTCTCCGCTTTGTTTTCAGGATGTGCGCCCGTGCGCGGTCGCAGAGCTGACGGAAGTGCTTGGTCATCGGAAGTGATAGGATGAGGGAAATGGAGCGAAGAATATCCAGGTCAGCTGCCGTTACCGGATTTTCACCGATCATGACCTCGAACGGAGAAAGCTCTGTCGAGAAATGGTGAGTTGTGTTGTACGCTAGCTCCAGTGCAGGTAGCAGGCCCTCCCATTCTCTCTCCACTGGTTGTATGCATGTGCACAGCATCTGCTCCAAGGTCCTATTAACCCTCTCCGTCTGGCCATTCGTCTGCGGGTCGTAGGGGGAGGACATGGCTTGGTTGATGTGGAACCGCGCACAAAGCTGCAAAGCCACACCTCGGATTGGAGCTGGGGGTCCCTATCAGAGATTAGGGTGTCTGGAAAACCATCGTAGAGGATCAGGCGATCCGCAAGAAGAGCAACAGAGTCCGTAGTGGACAACTTCTTCCTTGTAGGGATGAAGTGGGCCATCTTTCTGAGGGTGTCCACCAGCACGAGGATGGCGTCGTTGCCCGAAGACGTACGAGGTAAGTCAGTGGCGAAGTCGAGGCTCACGTGACTCCCCCGTCTGGAGGGGGTAACAAGCTGCTGTAGGAGGCCAGCCGGTTTCCGATTGGTGGACTTCGAGGCTTGACACTACGTAAAAGACTCCACGTAAGCGTTAGCCTATGCCCGCATGCCCGGCCAGTAGTAGTGCTTGCTGATGGCCAGAAAAGTCTTCATCTGACCTGGGTGGCCGGCTGTAGCATGATCGTGGTATTTATACAGAATGTGTGTCAGAAATGCAGGGAGCTGGGGAACACAGATCAACCATACCCCGTTGATGTTGGTTTGCAGGTAGGGAGTCTTATAGCGATCGCCTACTTTCCGGGCTCATGTAACCAGGTCGCGCATGCTCGCACATGGCAGGCAAGTAGGTGATGGTGAGTTCTGGGAACTCAGCGAAAAAGTCGAACCATCGAGCTGTGCGGCCACGAAGTGGCTTTGACGCTTTGAGCTGCTGTAGGTGGGTGAGAGTTTGGTGATGAGTTTAAGCCGTGCCTTTCGACGCCCGAAGCAGGTGGGCCCACTTATCAAGTGCGGTAACGAGGGCCAGGAACCCATGGTTGTAGATATAACACTTCATGTGTGCGGGACTCATAGTTTGACTCAGGAAACCTATTGGCCTTCCTTCCTGCTCCAGTACTGCGCCCAAAGCGAAACCAGAAGCGTCGGTGAAAAGGCTCAAGGGCTTCACGGTGTCGGGAATCTGGAGCGTAGTGTAATCAATGAGCTTTTGCCTGAGTTGGCGTACTGCCTGTGTATGTGCTTCAGTCCACCGGAAAGGGACCCCCTTGCGCGTGAGGTCGACAAGGGGGCGGGCTACTGCAGCGTAGTCTGCCCCCATAAACATGCGGCAGTAGCTCACGGTGCCCAGGAACTGCCGGACTAGGGCATCATTCTCTAATACCTCTGGCCACTGTTGCACAGCGGTAACCGTGTCTAGCGCCGGTTTAATACCATCAGTGCTAACGATGTACCCGGGGTAAGTGAGCTCGCGCTTTGCAAACTCACACTTGCTAAATTTAGGGTAAAAGTGATGGGCAAGAAGGAAGCCCAACACCTTTCGTAGGAGATCGGCATGGCTGGGAAGGTCGGGACTATATATGAGTATGTCATCTAAGTAAGCTATTACCCCTTGGCCTAGTAGCGGTTGTAGATAGGAGTTGGCTGTTTGCTTGAAACTTTGCAGGTGCGCCCTTAAGACCAACGGGTATCACCTTGTATTCGAACAGGCCGATGACTGGACGAAAAGAGGTCTTCCACTGATCTTCCCTTGCCATCCTTATCTTATGGTACCCCGACTCCAGATCCGGAGATGAGAAATATGTGGCACCTCCCAGCATCTCCAAGATGGTTGAGATGGGGGTCAGTGGGAAATCCGGAGCGATAGTGAGTGCATTTACCTCCTTGTAGTTCATCACCATCCTCATCTTCCTCTCTCCTGACCCTTCCGGTTTCTTGTTTACCATAATGGTGTGGGCACATATGGGTGAATAAGTTGGGCCTGTGCATCCATTGGCCGTCAGTCTGGCTATTTCCTGTTTGTGTACGTGAAGTTGTTCAGAGGTCATCCGGTATATGGCAGACTTAGGAGGCAACTTTCCAGGTACCAATAGGATCCGATGATCGTAAGGTCTCCTCGGCGACAGTCCATGGGGAAGCGTGTCTGGAAAGACCCTTCAGTACTCTCGCAGGACTTCTAAGACGGTATGTGGTGTTGTTAACGCAGCTGCCGACTCCATCCACTAGTCGAAGCGCGTGTACTCCAAGGAGGCTGTCGGCCAAAGGGACTCTTCTCCTTCCTATGTCTGTGTCAGGCCCACAGAGTAGCTAGCTTCCTCGGTCTTAGTGGGCGTCACTGTGGTTCCCGCCAGGGAACAACATAAGGCCCCTTGCCCTACTGCTGCAGTTCTCTGGATTTCCAGCTCCTCTCCTGCAGGTACGGTCAGAAAGGCCGATAATCCTTGTAGCGGATGTTCCATTTGCGCTGTGTTCTCCTTTGCTTGTTCCGGTATATCGTCTATGTTAATCTTCTTCTTCGTGCGGGCGCATGATTTGTATCTCCGGGAAGGTGGGCGGATGAGGGTTTTCGCTGTTTTCCCAGGCATATCCGCTACTTGTTTGGCGAGGATATCACTGTTGTCCGTCGCTGCGCCACAGGAGTGGTGCCCATTGAGGGCTTCTCTCCTGGGTGCGAAGTAAGGTGAGTTCGCACCAGCGACCCTGTATATATGCTTGCAACTTATCGGAGTGGAAGGTCCAGGCTACCATCCATGTCGTTAGCCAATCTAGACACACTACCAGGCCATAGGGAACGGGCCCCACTAAGAAATCCCCGCTAAGTCGTACATTCCCACACCACATAACCAGTCCAACCACTTCTCTACTAATCTTCAGTTGCTCCCCGTTAGCTATCGTAAAGATTCATTTCTCTTCTAATCTTTATGTCTTCAGCTGCATGCGTTCTACGGCTTTAGGATTTATGAAACTTCTGGAGGCTAACTGAACAGGTGAGGGACACCCCTTAGCATAGTGACCTAAGCCCCCACACCTTCTACACAGCTCCCCTGGTCGCCTGGTAGTCCCTTGTCGTGTGGGGCTTTGTGGTGCTGTATGACCCCTTCCTCGACACTCCTGATATGCAATGTCCCTTATCCTATTTCGTTCTGTCAGTGTGCGCTCCTATCGTGTGGGGCACTGCGGTGCGGTATGCCCCTTTCTTCGTCACTCCTGAGATGAAATATCCCCTATCCTAGTTCGTTCCCTCGGTGGGCGCCATTCCCTAGTTTCCCACTGACGGGGTGGTATTGCTGTGTAGGGTAGGGTCACAATCTGTCTGTTTTGTGTCTTCCAGGGATCACAAGATTTGACGCTGGCGTGATAAGGCCTCCTCTCACTGCTGAGGCTTCTTCCCATGTAGGGTACCAGACGCAACCTCCCCCCTTAATCTCAAGTAGATATCGCTGGGCAACTTAGCAATAAGGATCTCCATTAATATCTCAGGGGGTAAAGCCTCGCCTTCGCTGATGATAGCGGCAAAGTCAGAGATACACTTGGCGCCGCTCCCTTCCCACTGGAGTGCCGATAGTCGATTGAGGAAGGTTTCTCTGGGCACCGCCCAGAACCGGGCTACCATAGATCGCCTCTTTCCTTGCCAGTCCATGATATTAAACTTAGAGTCGAATAGGATGAACCAGTACAGAAGAGCAGCTCCGGTGAGATGTCTCCTCACCTTGCATCCCCACTGTTCTTGTGGAATGTTTGCTTCCAGGCATGTCATTATATTATAGATGGCGAAGGAAGTACAGCATATTGGTCCCATCCTCCATAGGAAGGCCGGCGACCGGTTCCCCGGCTGGATCACCCCGGTTAGGTCTAAATCCTTGATATTCAGTTCTTGCTGTCTCTAAAGGTGTATCAGAATCAGATGTTAGGCAGATTCTCTCAACTTGGGGTACTTTGTGCAGCCCGGAGCCGTCGTGCTGTTGCTCCCCACACCTGCGCCCATATCCCTCATTTGGGGTGCGATCGTTCCCCGACATCAGATCTATGCGTGTGTACGAGTGTGTGCCAGCTGACTTTAGGAAAAGAGGTTCCCTGAGTTCTAAAAGGAACAAAAAAGGTAGAAAATAAAAGGAAGAACAGAGGTTCCTTTCCTAGTTTCCCGGAAGGGCCCCCAAATGTATACAGCGGTCGTCTACTGTGCTTACGTATACCTACCCACGCCGACTAGCGGCCTGTGGGTTCGTGGTACAACATAGTATCAAAATACGTTCCAGTCTCAATTTATTTCATAAAAAATCCCTAGAAGACAGATCTGATAACTGTTGGGAATTCCCCTCTTCGAGGATCTCGGTCCCGCCCTCCTGACATCGCCAGGCGGTGGTGCGGAAACGTGTGCCCCTCGTTGCCGAGTGCCTGGCCAGCACAGCAGGTCGATCCACTGTTTCCTGTAGACTGACTCTCTAACTTAGTGTTTTTTATACGGTTACAGAAATGATTATTAATAATTAATCATAAATACTCATTTCGGTAACCATATATAATTGCCTATAGACGCCCTTGCTCCCTAGTCCTATAGTGTCGTGTGGCATGGCAGTACGGGCTGGCCCTGCCGCCCATCACCCTGATTCCAGTCGACTACTTCTCTAATTTCCGGTCCCCTATCCCGGTAATACGTACTCTACTGTCTTATTTTTCGAAAGTACAATAGTCCAAACTCTCAAAGTTTAACCATATCTCTCCCCTGTCTCAGTATAGCGCAACTGAAGCTTTCATTTGTGGCGCAATGTAGTGCCCGGACACTACAGAAGCCGAGCCAAGTAACCGTTGAGATACCTCTAAAGCTCCTGAAATTCGTGGTTAAATATCATCTTCCTGGTTAGATATCGGGCAATATTAGGGCATATTAGGACAAATTAATTAAAATGCAGCCGAACTCCTTTTCAAAGTAACTCTGCACCACTTTCCCATGCTCTGCCCATCGTACGGCACCGCCACGCGATGACCAGCGGTTCCAGTTGAACAGGAGCGCATTAGGTACGATTCCCTCATCTTCGAAAGCAGAGGTAATGTGTGTACTTTCTTTTTCCAGGTACAGTCCGTACTTTCTTTTTCTCGATTTGCTATATGGCTACACGACACTTCCAAATACGCAGCAAAGCCTAAGCTGCCGTACCGTACTGCATACACAACCAGAACAGTGTGTCCACTCGACCATGCCCACTCATGAACACAGGAACGAGGCTAAAAACGATATAGGAGCGCTTGGCTCGCGCAGTCGATACATGGCTGCGTTTACGTAGCCTGCAATCACTGCAGCGCCGGGGGGTCAAATGGAGCTGCCGGCCTGTAGCAAACAACAGTGGGAACTACAACTCATCGTAGGGTACTTGACAAAATACTAACTAACGCATATATTACTACCAGAAAATAGCGACAGGAAGTCGATATTACTGCTGTGCAGGATTATTAGCTTAGTTTAGCCAATTCGAAGTGTCATTGTGTAAATTTCATGAATGAAGGTTTCATCCCGCTCCGACAGCCACGCAGCAAATAGTTTACCGCCAAAGCCGAACCCGCGAACCCAAGTGATACAGAACTGATATTGATGACAATAAATTTCAAACTCAATATCGCTCATCCATGCCTAATGCTGCAACAGATTTGTAGAAGGGCACGAGCAGGAGCAGATGCGGGCGCGGACACAGTAACTGGCACAAGCAGAAGCAAGCACGCCAGCATTGATCTGATACTGGGCACACCTCAGGTTGTAGAACAACCTACAATCTTTCACTATAATCGATGACGGGCATAAGCTATATAAGGTGCTATTAAACGCCCGCATACTCGTCGTGCCAGGGGTATTTGAAATCTGACGTACATACGCCTGCGGACGCAAGTGCCCTCTTCGAATAGTCAGAATACAATGGAATGAGACGATCAATCAGTCCACCAATGTGCATACTGAGCTGGCCTAGGACACGAACAACCAATATCCTTTGGAGACGGCTATTGACAGTTCAACCACGAGTTTTAGAGGCGCTTAATGCAGTTGCAATTTTGCAACTGCTGAAATGCACAGTTCACGCGAAATAATATCAAGTCGGCATGACCGAGTATGTGCACCCGCTGCCTGAGAAAAACAAGCGAAAGCCTCGCGTCTATATATATGTATATGCATTCCAAAAACAGCCGAATATATCGAATCTACACCCTTGAAGACTAACGGCACAGCAACACGTATGACGCACAACTCGATTTGGAGTCATCTTTCGGCACGACTTCAATTAATGTAGGTCAGCCTAGCCCACGGTTGCAGCAAATACAAGTTGATGGCCGAGCGTTCAAGGGCGTGCGAGTTCGGCCTCGTGAAGTACACATTCGACAAAGATTCTCCAACACTCAAGGAACACAGCTCAGAGCATATGTCTCAGAGACGTGAACTGGTGAGTCCTAGCGCATGCACATGAAGTGAACCCAGCATGCCGTCTCGAGATTTTGCAAAGACCGTTCTAGGACACTCTCAGTGATCACGGCGTCATCAGAAACCATAGAGTAGCGAACAAACCCGCAAGGGATTGGGATGGAAACCCACCTCCTGCATGCCGAAAAATGACCCACATGACCCTCCTCCCTCTGGTAAAAATACACAAGCCAACGCAGGTACGCCACTAGGTGGATTCGTTCCAATTGCCACAAACGGTAGCAAAAATTAGCCAAAGCCCATATACCACAACTCTATCATGGAATGCGAATCAAAACTTGCGTCCCCAAAAATCCAACATGTATTCAAAAAAGTGAGTGCTCTCGATGCCCTGTAATGCGATGAAATGTAGAGCCACACGGCTGGCATTCTTCCCGCATCAAACACAAGGTCACAACCCTGGCCACGGATCAAGCGCGGGGTTCATAAAGAATGCAA